GATAGCTAAGAATAAAACATGTATCCAGATTACACAAAACGTAGTTTGTGTATTGTATGTTTTTCTACGACAAATCCTCTCATCGTTAGAGATATTTTGAATTAAGACAAGAAATTGCGAATGTAAGAAATTTGCTGAAAACTGGAAACATCTGTTGAAGTTTTCAGCAAACTGCTATAGAGCTATCTATGAGAACTAACTTAATACTTTCAACTCAAGAGATAACAGACAATTTGGTGTGTCGAATGGATCCGAATGTTCCTAACAACAAGATATAAAATTTATTCTAATTACATTTGGTATTTTTCTAGTTCTCAATTCAGTTTCTTTACAAGGAAGAGGTATTATTTTCCTAGAAATAACAGAGGATATGAAAGAAGAAAAGTAACAAATGGCAGATGGTATTCGAATATTTTTATCGCTGGCCTTACGTTTTTATTTTGTTCGATAATCACAATTTTTACTGTAATTAACTTGATTCTGTAGCCTACTTTATAGGAACAACTAATTCAGAGTTTGAGCTCGCATTTTGTAACCTGAATATTACAATATTTTGCATTTATCCAATTCATTTTGGACAATTAGATTGTTGTTTACTTGTTATAAGTGCAGGTGCAATTATTGTCTCGAAGAGATTTACGTGCTTATCTGATGCACTAAGTGAGTTGAAAAAAGAAGAAAGTTTCCTGAGGACTAAAATCAAATCCTTGATTGAAACTCATTAAAATATATGAACCTATCTACAAGAAATAAACTTAATTTGTGAAGCATACTTTCCTAGAGTATATTGTTGCAGTGTTTATGATACAAGTTTTTTTTTCTGCGCAGGGCTTTTCTTTGAAGTTAATGATGTAATGCGTCTTGCATTTTCTATTATTTTGATAAGTTTCATTGTCGTAATTGCGGTTTGAGCTTTTTAAATCTCGATTTTCATCTGTAGTAAGTTAAAGTTAAACCTATCGTGTCCTGTTAAGTAAATAACTTCAGAAAGTTTCTTGGAAAAAATGAAACTTTAATTAACCTATTCATAACCTATTTATAAAGAATAAGTTACTAAGCTATTCAATTTATAAATGTGTTAAAATGATAAACGAATAAAAATATAAGATATTTTCCAACATAAATAATTAAGAGGTGTCTAATTTTCTGGAACGAAAAAAGTCTTTAACTATATATTTTAGTTTTATACGTTAGTTTGTTTAATAGTCAACTATAAGTTTAAATTTTAAACTTCAAAATTTTGTGACAACTGAATACTGAGACATACAAATCTTATTCAAGTGTCAATAAAATCATAATCTGAAGGAATTTTATTTTAAATAATCATTTGCAATTTGTTTCAATATTTTAATCCTTAACTTTAAACAATATGCAGTACTTTTGTTTGTTAATCAACTTGGACCATCCGATGTTCAAAATGAGCTACAATTTATATACAGTATACTTGTTTGTACTGACATTTGTAAAATTTCAACGCAATAAAGAACTTTCAATGTAAAGACACTGTTTTACCTCTTCACCAACGATTTCCTTTTCACCTCTATCCCATGTATGGTAGTACATAGGAACCGTTAGCAGGCTGCAGACCTGGGCTTCTTTGTGAACATAAGACGTCAGACAAGTGTAAACTGAAGTACTGACACACCGAATTCTAAACCAGATATCCAGGATTAATTTCCTGGAATAAACAAAAAAATATAAAATGCTGCTCTGGGACTCATTCAGCCTTCATTGTGATGAGTACAGTACCTTCTCAGCAGTAAAACATCTGCGATGTATATAATTTTGGTATCAAACTGATCCAAGATTAATCTAAGCGTTCAAATAGTGTATACAAACGAAGCATCTGATTTATCTCTATCATCATATACAAATGCCATCTAGGATCAACTGGATCGCAGTCAAACTAACCGACCGATAGGTAGGAATGTTTGGATCGGATAAAGATTAAATATGGCGACTCCATGCCTAAAGTCAAGCCTTAGAGTTGACAGCAAATAAATATGTTTAACTATCGACAATTAAAAGTATTTAAAACTTACAAACAAGAAGTAAAAATGTCAGTATTAAAATATCCGCTAAACTGAAATGAAAAATAAGTTTTAAGAGACAATTTTGCGATATTGTACGACAAGAATGCATGGCGTGCAATCTCCCATTTTCCCGTATTGTAAGCAATTTTATTTACAAGGTAAATACGATTCGATCTTTCTTGTATTCTTTCCGCCAACTAACATATACGACAGAAGCGGTCTGTATCACGTGACAAAGACCTAATCTTACAGATCAATACATCTGAAAGGAAAAGCATATGCACCCTTGGAAGATGACGCGTCAGACTGAATAACCACATCCGGCAAGATTTCCAGTTTCGAACTCCGATGCCGATACTGGTCGGTATCGATACTTTAAAACCACTCATGATACAGATATCGATACTTTTGTTTTATCGGAACATCCCAATTTATATTTAATATTAATGTATTGATTAATGTACATAATTACTGGATATTGTAAAGTATAAATCCATTATAAATTCAACATCAGATTTTATAAATTATTCAAATTTTACAATTTATTTTGCCCAGATAAAAATAGATAGATATTTTATCTGTTTAAATTTCTCGACTTTTCAAGATCTGCTGAGTTGAAAAATGTAAAAATCTTGGGGTCATTTTTGTTCGATCGGCATACCGTGTTTTTCCGAAAATAAGACATCCTCAGGAAATAAGACCTAGCACAGGTTTTGCTGAATTGCGAAATATAAGACCTCCCCTGAAAGTAAGACCTAGCAAAGTTTTTTTAGTCGTAACGGTCATCGACAGATGGTTGAAAGTGGCCGTTGGCTTTTTGAAAGTACAGCCACTAATTGGTCAGCAATCACGCCACGCGGCATGATTTGCATAAGACTATGGCTTGGGAACCACAGATTTCCATAACGTTACGGCTGGTGATCGCTAATTGGTCGGCCCGGAATAACGCCCCATCACATTTGCGTAGTGCTACGGTTCAGTAAGCACTAATTGGTCATCGAGCCCAATGTCGACGCTAAGAAAAGGTTAAGTTGAAGCGAGAGTGGGAAGTCCACTCCAGCACGGGAACTTTGTCACGGCGGATTGCAGAGACAGCGTTTACGTTAAACGACATTTAACGGCCGAACGGCCTATAGACGTCGGTTGGCTGAACCGCGGTTTAAAATACGTTGCAAAGACGATGATCGTCTATTTCCGAACACCATCTAAACGAATCTCGGCGAAACGTTGGCTGTTACTTTCTTCGCCATTACTCCCCTGTTTTAGGAGTCGCTCAGCCAATCATATTATTTGTGTGACGTCAGAAACAAGGCGACTGTGTCGAAAACGTGTAGGAATTTTTCGGAAGAAGAAAAGAACGTCCTGGCGGAAATTATTAAAAATAATCCCGTAGTTGAAGAGAAGGGGTATGATAACCGTACTCTAGCGTCAAAAAAAACCGCATGGGAGAAGATTCTAAACGAATTCTCCTCATCATTTCCCTGTAGAGCAGCTCGTACAATAGTACAATTGAAAGGCAAGTATGAATGTAAAATATTCATTTCATATTGTAAGATGTTAGTTAGTATTTTTAGCATTAATAATATCAAAGTAGAATAATAATTCAAAATTTTAATAAAACGAATATATACCCTTTTATAGTTACCCGGCAGAAAATTCTGCTGGCTGAGTCTCAAGACGACTTAATCACCTATATTAAATTTATTACAATAAAAATTATTTTGTGCAAAACAGCTACCACGCAACAGAGATCGAGCGGGATTACTCTTTTATAGTTACCCGGCAGAAAATTCTGCCGGCTGAGTCTCAAGACGACTTAATCACCTATATTAAATTTATTACAATAAAAATTATTTTGTGCAATCTATATTTAAGTGTATTCTATTCTGAATCAAGATTTCATATCCTACTAATCTCTACTTATATTTATTAGATTAATAGATTATGTAAATATACAATATTGACCAAATATTAAAACAGCATATTTAATTTAAGAAAAGTTTACTAGAAAAGTATATCTTATGATCTATGTTATAGGTTGCTGGAAGCGATTAAAAATAGATGCCAAAAAAGAGGCAGATAATAATCGACGTGCTGCACATATAACAGGTGGAGGACCAGCACCGTTATCATTGAATCCCTCCACACAAGTGGTTTTATCTATTTTGGGTGACAGTATTGAACCGTTACCCAATCTGGATGATCCACCATCACCACTTATCATCACATATGAAAATAATACTGAATCATTTACAGCTACAAATGAATACTCTAGTTCAGAATTATTTTCACCTATAGTGGTAAGTGATGCGGCTGTCAGGGAAAATATGGAAGTTGCAGAAGTGGCAGATGATCCACCTCCACCCAAAAGACAACGGTAAATAATGTTCAGATAAAATAATACTAAATATTAATAATTACTTTCTAAACCATAATTATTCGTATTTATAGCATTAACTCATTAGAAAAAGCCCAAATTCAGCTAATAGAGGAGGGCATAAAAACTGAGAAAATGAAACAAGATACAGAAAGGAAAAAGCAAGAATCGGAACAACTTAACATAGAGTTATTACAGTTAAAAAAGTTGCAACTTCTGCAAGAACTAAAATTATCGGAAAATAAATAAATGCATTTATTATAAATATTAAAACGGCCCTTTTCAGGGCCAACAACTTTAGTTAAGAGTGGTCATATCTTATTAATAAACAATTAGATGATGGAAGAATATCAAAGAAAAAATATATGAAAATAAAAGAAAGATAAAAGTGGAGCATAATTCATATGTAAAAAATATATATGTATTTTTTTATTAAATAGCTATTTACCTACTGTTTGTGATTACAGAATCATGTTTAACATATATACCTTTTTATATGTATACCAACTGAAGAGGGATTATTATCACTGGTGTGATAAGACCTTATTATCTACCTCACATTAGTAGGGTTTTTAATTAATTTAATTATATCAAGGGCAAAAAGCAATTCCTTTATATTCTTTATATATATCAAATTCTTTATCACAGTCTTTTATACTGAATGTCAAAAAAGTCTAAGTTATAAACAGTTTTACATGAATACAACATATACAAGTATTTAATTTAAAATGTTATAAATAGCAACTGTTTAATGAACATTTTTGAAGTAATACATTTATAGATTAACTTGCTTGATTACATAAATTTCATTTAATACTTGTTAAGTAAATTAAAACTCACTTTTTGCACTATTTGTGAAAAACACTGTAGTATGCTCTAATTGATAAACAAAAGGTAGTCTGTTACAAAAGTATAGGTACACCACTTAAAAGTCTCTTAAAAATTAATTTATTATAATAATAATTAAAATTATCATGACTAGGGTGAGATGTCATCGTTTTTAACTGTCATGGTGGCTTTTTTAATGTTTTATTGAATGTTATATAAACATTTTCAACAATGCATCATGGAACTGTACTTCAGGAACAAGAAATACATAAAATTAAACACAGAAATCATAATTTAAATCTTTTTGAGGAAATATGGATGAATAAAACAACTGTATGAATGTTTATTTAATTTGTTACATAGGTTATGTTAAGTAATATTTTTATTTAAAATGAATAAAAAGAGAATTATTTTGTCTATGATAGGCTCACTCTTTATCAAAATTGTATGGTCCTGAAAAGGACCTTTTGTGAAAGTCCTAAAGTACTGTTTCATTTAACTGAAATGTTGCAGTACAATAGATCTTCGAAGAACAGATCCTGATCCAGATTGCTCATTTATTCTTGAAGTTTCTTCCTCTATTTCTTCATTTGAATGCTCAGTAAGAAACTCCTCCTTTTTAAATTCAATGGCCCAATTGTGTAGAATTGCAGTGGCTATTATTATATTTAGTGTGTTGTCTAATTTAGTTCTTAGACAACTTCCAATGCACGGAAATCGTCTTTTCCAGACCCCAAATAATCTCTCGACGATATTTCTTGCTCGTGAATGAGCTTTGTTATACCGTCTTTCGGCATGATTTTGTGGGTGTAAAAATGGGGTCATTAAATATGGCAAACACGGATAGCCACTGTCACCAACCAGATATCCATTACAATATCCTTGATGTAGTTTTTCTCTAATGCTACTATTAAAAAAAATTCTACTGTCATGTGTTGAACCGTGCCACCGAGCAACAATGTTTCTGATTTTCATTTTTCCATCACAGATTACCTGAAATATACATTTAAACATGCATCAATTATATATTTTCATTAAAGTTATCAGTTTGAGGTATCAAAGATATTATTTTATATTTGTAATTTCATATGTCAAAGAAATACTCAAGAATATAACTGTTTCATAACAAGGCATAACAATTTAAAATGTTAGAAAAATATATAGCCCATTGTATATTTAATAGTTATGTAAGCTACAATAAATTACAGTTTATTACATTTTATTGTTCTCCACAAAAATGTTTGTGGAGAACAACAAAATTGTAATTAAGGTACACTCACTCAGCATAATAAAAAAAAACACCTTAATTTGCTGAGAAAATTTAATGAAAAAGCAAATGTTGTCAGCCAAATCTGTTGGCCATCATCAGGCTGAGAATAGTTTTTATTTTATTTTTTTTCTTCTTTATGTATATATATATATAATATTGTATGCATATACAGGATAATATTACATGCATATATAAAAGCCATTTATTATATGATTAAAAAATATGTACAAGTTACCAAGTTAATATTACATGCATATATAATATTACATGCATATATATTATTACATGCATATATATTATTTCATTCATATATATTATTATATGCATATATATGTATGTATGTATGTCATTCGTTATTTTTATTTGTATTTAAATTTATGTTCTATTTTATTTATTTCTGAATATCTCAGCAAATTAAGGTGTTGTGTGTGTGTGTGTGTTTAAATAAAATTGTATTTTATTGAAATTTCACTTAATTATGAGGTTAAGAAAATCACATATTTAAGTAAAGATGATATTGTATGTAAATAATTCTCACCTGGCAGTTAATGGAATAATAGGATTTTCTATTATAAAAAAGTTGTGCTCTACTGCTGTCAGGACACTGGATAGGAATATGAGTGCAATCAATTGCCCCAATTATTCCTGGAAAGTTATCCTTAGATAATAGAGAAAACTCGCGCATAATAGCCGGAAGTTCGGATTGCGTCGGAAATACAATTTCGGCATTCTTTAGATGTACTAATGCCTTTGAGACGTTTTGGATGGTTCTGATAATGACATAACAATAATTAATAAATAATGCAATATATAACTTAGAAACGTTAAACAACACCTCATTCTTATAAGCGTCTCTATCACTATACAAAAAACTTTTTAAATTTATTTATTTAATAATAGTTTGATAGATACCTGCATACAGTAGAGACGTGAACTCCGATAAGATCACCAGCTACCCTCTGGTAGCTTCCGGTGGCATAAAATCGTAATGCCGTTAATAACTGTTGTTCGGCAGTTAATGGTAATCCTCTTCCATCCAGATGCCTAATTTCGTCGCCAACACGATTTAATATATGAACGAATCCAGATTTAGAAAATCTATACCGAGTTCGAAATTCGCCCTCGGAATAAATTTCTATAGGATTATTCCGATCTCTCATTACTCTCTCTCTTCGTAACTGTCGAGATGAATGATCTTCATTCGTCCCGTTTGTAAGATTGATTAAATTAAAAATATCCATTTTAGCACGACCAACAAAGGTAAATGGCGACTTCTACTCGAGTAAAATGTTGTCTAAACCTGCTATCGAGGGAGTCTAGAAAATAGATCAAATAACTTGTTTCTAATCGCTGTCTACACTGTGGCAGGGGACAAACGCCGTCTCTGCAATGAAAATTTTTCTGAACAGCGGTCTACCCGATCTGTAAACCGCGGTCGCCCTCTAAACGCTGTCTCTGCAATCGGCCGCCAGTGTTCAGGATACGAAGACCGCTCGGCCACTGGTGGGCGGAAACAGAAAGGAAAAACGGAATAGTTTTCTCTTTCTGTTTCCGTTTTCTGTAAATGTGAAAATTAGCCTTTAGACTTGTCTGATTGGCAGTGTAACATTTTTCGATGCTTATTCCTTTATATGTACACACACACATACACACACAGATATATATATATATATATATATATATATATATCTTAATTCGAGAAATTTCTTAAAGTAAATTTGTTCACTGTCATTTGTTGTTATGTTTATACCGTAAGTGTGATAAATAAAAATTTGTTAGAATACAATTTATGTGTAAGCTTATAGAAATTGGCAAAACTTTTTTTTGCGATTTTTGGATTATCATTAAATAATCTGTGTTTCTTATAATTTTTTTTTTAGTTTTAATGATTTAGAAGCTGATGTATTGTTTTCCTAAGTAAACTTTCTTAACGTAATCATGTTATATTTCATAAAATTGCGCAAATTATAATTTAATTTAAAAAAAAAGATGTAATATGTTTGTTTAAATGTATGTTTTAATAACTTTTAATAGAAAAAAAGACAATTAAAAATCCTTGACATCGTTTAATTTTGATCTAATTATAACTGTAATATTCTATATGAAAATCGTGAATGTATTCCAATCTGAATATATTAAAATAATGTTTAAAAATATTTATACACGTTTCTGTTTGAAAAAAATTAATTCATATCTTTATATTAATATTTTTAAGTTTAAAATAATTCCTTTAAATTTATGCAATTAGTAATTAACTAAGTTCATCGTGAATTGATTTTAAAAAAATTTATTGTATTGTACTTGCTGTTTGTGTTTGTTTCGATAAATTCGAAAAAAAAACATAAACATCTTATAATTAGTTAATTAATTAATGATTTTAGTCCTATAGATATTATTTTATTAATATTAGTCTATTATGACTTTAGTTTCTTCATAGGACTTTTTATACCGATTAAACTTGAGAATGAAATTAGAGATTATTCTTTTGAACCAAGAGACAAATTTAGTCTCTCTAATTTCATCTGCAAGTTAAGTTAGTGCAGTCAGTCCTTGTTAGTCTTTACCACACAACTAGATGCACAGGTAGACACTAGGCTTGTTTACATCACTTTTTATTCTGCAATATCTTAGACGCCGATACACGTTTCGGGCATACGCCCTTCATCTGTCGGCTATAGAATAGAATTTGAACATATATTATTCTATTCTGTAGCCGACAGACAAGGGGTGTGTGCCCGAAACGCTATCGGCGTCTAAGATATTTGCAGAATAAAGGGTGATATAAAAAAGCCTAGTTGTGTGGTAAAGCCTAACAAATAAAAGGCACGGTTTTGAAAAAAGGCAACAGTAATAACTCCTATTAATAAATTACAGTCACTATAAACTAATATGAATTTTTTTTTAAATCTTAAACTTCGGTAAATTAAATTCCTGCAGATTCATTATTGATCCAATAATAAAGGTAAACAGGACCGGTGTCACACCTTAATGTGTCCGGATATAACTCAAGCTGACAGGTCAAGTAGTTTTTAAACTTATAAGAATAAAATGTACTGTAAATAATTAGGTTATCAAATGTATTATCGTTTATTAATTCATCAAAATCACAATAACTGATTAAAATTCGTTACTTTTAGTTTTTAATTTTATCTTTTTCTTCTGTTAGTAGGTAATCTGATATTAATAAATGCATAAAGGCGTTTTGACGCGATGTTGTTCAAAACGTGGATAATTTGATGCTAAATTTAATTATTTTGAAAAATAAACCACGTATACGCAACTAATGACCAAATTCATCAATTTCAGAAAGACGATAGAATACAAACTGTGACAATAACAATATAATTAAAAAAATATTTCGTGGGTGATGCTTTAGTTGTAAAAATTTGTTGATTTAATATGATAATTTGTGTTTTATGTACTTATCTCAAGTATTTTACTTAAACAAAAATGTTTGATAATGGATATCGTACTGTACATATTGATGATAGTCATTTAAAATTTTTTGTCTTCTTGTCTTTTTGTTTATTTTCAAAAATTTAACATTTGTAATTTATAAGTTTTCCAAACATTAATATTTACGAATCAAATAAATGTATTAAAAATTAAAAATCCAACTTACAAAAGAAAATGAATATAGAATATGGAGAAGGCGACGAGGCGATTACCTCAATCGGAAAAGTGAAAGGAGCTGCAAAGTGAGTGATCAAACATGTTCTAAAAGAGAAAATAAAAATAATATACCGAATACAATAAATGCATATTGAAATTGTTTATAAATAGTTCATACAAGAGTGCCAGCGCTAAAAGTGATCTCTATTGATAACCGTTCCGGAGGTAAAGGCGCAGAAATCGATTTCGCCCCAGGCGCTAGTTACCATGGTGCCAGTACTCAGCGTAAGTTTGAAAGTGATTACACATTCATCTAATGTCTTGATCAAACGGTTGGATGACCGAGACAGTTAACATGTTAGTCTACTATCTGAAAACTGAAATTGAATTCTGGCAATTGACTCTTCAGAAATTTTTCATGGCATCAGTCTCACATGTCTGTCTCCATTCTTGAACATCCATCCAGTCGCCCTCTTTATGGGCCTCACTCATGATGGGTATAAAAGTTGTTTTCTTGGTGCCCAAGGGGAGGGAGCAGGAAAAACAGATTAAAAATTATCTTGATTAATAAAGCTCTAAAAATAATAATTTTATTCCAGTGCTTAAATTTGGTGCATTTATATTTTGGGAAAATTTATATTAGCTTTTATAAATTTTCATTAATGTATAGACTACTAATTAGAACAGAAATTCATTTTCAGATAATAAAGAAGGCTTGCGTGTAACCATCTACAATAAAAAGAAGACAAGTTTAAATTAGAAAATTTATTTTCATCTATATTAATAATTCGATACTTAAAGTTTTATATAATTATTAAGGAAGGACAGACAACAGATTGACAGACGATAGTGGGAATTTATAGGTCTACAACTTTTTAAAATTGCAGCTTTTATTAAGCTGCAATTTTAAAAAGCAAATAAATTTAACTTATCGTTAATTACAAATAGGTGTCATAAATATTGTTGAAATATTAATATAGATTTTACTAATTAATTAGTAAAACTCGAAAAATATATTTATTCGATTTTTATTATTTAATTAATTAAATAAATAATAAATTTAATAAAAATTTATTAAATAAATATCATACAATCAAAGCATATTCGTTTTTTTTTATGGTGGCTAAAAATTATTGGATGTTTTTGTTTAATGTAATTTGATAAGACTAACACAATGTTTATTTTTAATTTAGGGAGACCATCTAATTTCTACAAAATTATGTCGTTAAGTATTTTACATAATTTTTCCAACAAATTGTTCGTGCATATCTCATTAATTAATGTATAAAAAGTTTTGTTTATCGAAAATTAACGTTAAATCTAACTTTAATAAGTAAATTTTTTAATATGTCTTGATATTAAACTTAATCATACCCAATATTTTACTTTTGTGAGAATCTGGAGTTAGGAGAAATATTTGTTGAAATATTATTTTAAAATTTTACAATCATTTATAGAGAATTATCTAACTTCCTCTGACTCAGAGAGAATGACGAGTTAGTTCGTCCTAAAACGATAGTTTGAGTGCGGTAACTCCAGTGGCGTACCGTGGGTGTCAGCCGCCCGGAGCGGAGGAAAATTTCGGCCACCCTCTTATTTAGGTATTTCAATTTAAAAGACCAGAATTAAGTTATGTCACAGAACAAGAAATGAAAAATTCGGCGGTAGTGCAGCGACCTGTTTAAAATAGTTCTATTGGATATTAGTGGTGTATATGAACGCAAATGAGTCGTACAAGCAAAAAAAAAGGTCAACAGGTTTCGCAGGATTTCTTCGGATGAAAAAATTACTAGTTCACCCGGACGGCGAGCCGATTCCCGGACTGTCCGGACGATAGCACTATCGTAGGCGCGATGCAAATATAGATTAGGATGTTTCAAATTTTTACAAGATATTATTATTATTTATTGTGAAATTTTGTCGCCCCCTAAAAAGTGCCGTCCGGGGCGGGCCGTCCTTGCCACCCCCACTACGGTACGCCACTGGGTAACTCACACGACTCTACGCAAAACCGTCCGACATCCTTCTCTGTCAGAAGCATGGCGTGATATCCCAGTAATACTATTGGATGTCGATTCACTATAATAGTTGAAAGTTCACCATTTTATTTGGTCTCGTTTTGATACTCTTAAGCAGATCAAGACTTTAGCTAATGCTCTAGTTTCGGCGCCCTTGCCGAGTGGCCGAGACTTTAGCAATCTCTTCTCTAGTTCTCCAGTGGAGTGTTGAGAATTCTTGAGAACACACAGAACTTCTGTGTGTTTCCAAGAATTTTCAACTCTTCACTTCAGACGTTATGCTATGTAAACTCTCGTTACGATAGACTTAGTATCGTCAGGATTGACTTAATCAGGTAGATTTAAAGATCCTCACGTTCAATTGTTGAACTTAATCATTCCATTTCATTCTCTCCAGTTATCTGTATATAAAATTGTTATAATCTCATATAATAAAATATAATTATATGCTTATTCGCTGTTATTTGATTTAATGTCTAACTTTATCGTCGGCCTACGTAACTCATGTGAACCACGTATAAAGATAAACACTCCTGAAATTCCGGTTAAATATTTATTGATTTATTCAACCACTCGGAAGATAATTACTTATCGCGGTCCTTAGTCCGCAA